TCAAACTAATAATATCAAGTCGTCCACTCACCACAAGTGGGTCACTGACTCACTACCCAACTTGACACCAACACGCCTTGAGCACCAATATCACACCGATGTCACCAAAGCACTCCTCTCTACGCACACCACTGGACGTCTCACTAGACACACGCTATCCTCACTGACCGGGATCCACGACTCGAATGTCCGTCCTATACTGTCCTGAACATCTAGGATATCCCAGGCTTATCGGCACTGATAAGCCGGGTCAAAGGGCGCTCGCTAGCTTCCCCGCCGCCGCTTGCTTACCTCATCAATCGGTGCGCGGCCAAATAGCAAATATTTACCCCCCTAGGAAAAAGGCTCGTTACATCCCCCACTTACATCGGGATGAAAAAAAAGAAAACGGCCAAAAAGAAAAAAAAATCATTGAACTCCGGCCAAAACAAAATACTCCAACCCCTAACCCAATGGTGAACCCTACACCACAGGTCTCAAACTTAAAACAAAGAAAAACTCTTCTACTAGCCACTACCAGCCAACATGGAGCTGAATGATTTGGCATCAGGAACCAGACGAGGGTTTCCATCGCAAGGGCCTTCGGGGTCTTCGTCACCAATTTTGACACTCTCTATGCGGCCCACTTGACCAGAACAGTCCTCACCCACGCCCATTCTTATCACGACCGTCACAAGTCTGAGATCTCGTATGACATCCATTCCCAAAATCATATCCGTGGTAAGAGTGGGAACGTACAAGGCGTCTCCAACCCACCGTCTTCCCGCAGCTTCTCCTGCCAATCGGAATGAATACTCGGCCCTAGACGGTGACCCATCTGCCATCCTTAGAGGAGCGGGTTTCTTAAAAGGCTCTACCTCCTGGCGTTGAAGATGATCGGCAACTTCTCGCCCAACCAGGTTAACTACGGACCCAGTGTCCAATAACGCCTTATAAACGCTGCCCATCAGCACAACTTCAACAAAGGGCCTTGTCTCCGAAACCAGCCGGTTCTCGTCTACTCCACCAACCAGGCTGTTTAGTTTTCCGAGCCACTCGGACCACTCTTCTGAGGTCGTTCGTTTTGGGTGGCCTTGCCCAGTTGACCTCCTGATGTCTGAGCTGGCCTGCCGTTTCCCGCCCGACATCCACACTGACTCACCGTCAAACCAGGTTTGCCACACCCATAACAGGAGACGGTCCTTGGTTTACCACATTCTCGGGCAAAGTGACCAATCTCCTGGCACCTAAAACATTTCACCGTCCCCTTTGGACCCTCAGGCGCTCTAGCTGCTGTCACGGGCCGTTGACCGTGGACCCGATCCGACTTCAAAGCTACCCGCCCACGCGACTCGGCTTCCGGAGATGGTCTCTCGAAACTCCGCTTCTCGACGGCGGCAGTTTCGGCGCGCTTCTCCACCTTCTTTTTGGGTGTGTAGGCGGTTTCCAAAACCAGCGCTACGTTCGGAGGAGGAGGAGGTCTAAAGGCCGCCTTCTCTCGCAGATAGGCCTCGTAGTCTTCGGCCAACTCAACCATCTCGGCCAGATTGCGGAAGTCCCGCCGTCGCACCATGAGTTTGTACTCTGGTCACATGTTGTTGTAGATCAAGTCCAATCTACCATGCTCGGACAACGTACCGCTACGCCTAAGCAAGGTACTTATGGCAACAACGTAGTCCCGGAAGTGCTCGCCTTCACCCTGTGTCCTTTTCCGGATCTCCTCATCCAAATTCCTCTGATAACCAGGTGGAAGGAACTGGATCTCAAATTGATGCCGAAAAGCTTCGAATGAATACAGGAGCTCCTTGCAATTCCTGTACCATAGAAGCGCTGAGCCTTGCAACAGCTCCGGCAGCGCTCTGAGCAGGTCCTCTGATTTTATAGAGTACGAGACCATCAGCTCTTCAAGGCGCTCCAGGAACGACACAGGGTCTCGTCGGCCATCAAACCTCAAACCCCACTTCCGTACCGTGTTACATATTTTGGAGCAATCCTTTGGCTCCACCCTGCTGGCCTCATTTGAGAGCATATCCGAGCCTCGAGGCAGCTCCAAGCTAGAAGGCCAGGCTGGTCTCTCAGAACTATCATTGGGCCGCTGCCATCCCTCGGGTCTACTAGGTAACCCAAAGGTAGGCATTGGAGCAGCCACAACAGGGGACGTAGGGTTGGCGGGTCTTTCGAACCCATAGCCGACCCCATTACTCGGCGAGCCCCTCGCCTGTCGCACCACCAATGCAAGTTGTTCTCGAAGAGTCCGGGCATTGGTCTCCGAAGACAACCCAAGGATCTCTTTAACCGCCTCTAACTCCCTGCTAATTCCCACTACCGCGGCTTGGTCAGATTCCGTATTACCCAGTACCTGAGGTACGGTTCTCGGGGGGTCAGGAAGCTCCACAGTTGTAGTAGCCGGCGGTACATATGTAGGTGCAGCAGCCCCAGCCGTACACAGTCTATCATCGCTATACCGACGGGCATTCCGCTGCTTCCAAAACGACGAAAATCGCTGCCGTAATTCCGCAGAAGTACCAGTGGTCACCAAACCATACTGGTCCATCGTTCTCATGAGCTCCCCCTTCGAGAGGTCATAGATCCAACCCACGCGACCGTCCCGGGGCTGCGACCCCAAGGACATAGTCGCTGGCGCGGAATAGGTCAACGAAGTTGTCACCGTCGTAGCCACTACCGAAGAAATTGTCGGCCAAACGGGCGAAGACGCCGGCCACAATGACGATGTCGTCATCACCGACAGTTCGGAGCCAACCCCAGAACTAGTCGTAGCAATAGCAGACGTAATAGGCGTACCGCCCAGCACAGACGTCGTACTCGTAGTCACAACCATATTTAAAATTCAAAACACCACGACAAATCCGCAAAAATAAGGGCGTAAACAATTAAAATCTATTTAACACCGTACTATTAAATCAAACCAATTATGGGTGTGAAAGTCAAACCACAAATACACAATAAGGGTTCTCACTCAAATAATATTCGATGATAAAGCTCAATTAATTAGCAAAATAATAAATCAAACCAATTATGGGTGTGAAAGTCAAACCACAATTACACAATAAGGGTTCTCACTCAAATAATATTCAATGATAAGGCTCAATTAATTAGCAAAATTAAAATTACTAACTAATATCTATGTATACAACCACTAAATAAATTAGGGTTCACAACACACCACGCTGTAACAGAAAACAGGTTAGGCCTACCCAACCGACTATAAAATCACAGCAGGTCTGCCTAAAACTCTGCTCAACAGCTCAGGTCCGCAGCCAATCTGCACAGGTCCGCAGCAAATCTGCACAAATAAAATTATTTTGTTCGGGCGCCGTTAATACGTCAGCAACTCAGCACCACTGCCAACCTCAGTCCCTGTTCGCAGGCGCCATCTTGCGACGAGATTTTCTGCACTGGAAAAAAAATATTAAATATTAAAAGTGCAGTCGGTCGCAACCGTTTGCCGGGGATAGCTCAGCCTACGATGGCTGGGTAATATTCCAGGGTCTGCGACAAGGTCAGGGAAACCACTAGGCCAAAAGCCGGGTCTAACCGGTATAGGACTGGCTCATACACGGGCACTGTGAACAAGTCAAAAACAAGTCACCAAAACAAACGTGCAATAATCACTACCAGGCCTACGCCGATTCTCCACACTCCTAAGGGGTCGTTGCTGACTACGCAACTCGGGCTTCGTTCTAACTATCCAATAGTTAAGCCCAGAGTGCCTAAAACACGGTGAGTTACACGACGACTTGCCAATAAAAACCACAACGCGTGTTATCACCAGGCGGGGTCTACTAGGCCACTAAACTGCAATACACAACTCTAATGCCCAAGCTAAGAATCAAACAGTTCACTCAATAATCGTACCACATAATAATATACAAGTACACTATAGGTAGAGTGACTACACCACTAGTAGCTGGTCTCAATAAATACCAAGCCAAACAAGCAAAACTAAATGGCAATTGCACTATTAAAATATTGAGCTACTTAGTAGCAGATAAATAAATATTAAATACGTTCCAAACACTAGATAAATATATTATCTGATAGCCGGTACTCCGCTATCCAAGCTACCAAGATAACGTGTTGGACTACCAAACAAGCTGTTTAAGTTAAATTGAAATAATTAAATGATTAATCAACACCAACCCTACTGCTACTACCACTACTGCTACTATATCAACGTTATATTACTTAGCTGGGCTTCTGTTAATAGGCTAATAATATTAGCTACTAGCCTACTGGCCACGTGCTTCCAACTACGCTCGCTAAATCGTGCAGCATAGGTTTGTCGGGCCTCAAGAGTTATTAGTAATATAACTAACTCTTGGTACAACGCAAAATAATAACTACTACAGTCAATAAATTATATTATTTGCGCTCTAGCACCTGCCCAGAACCGTCAGGAATATACTTTAATATTATTCCTGACTAATATAAATCCTAACTACCGTCAGGCTTTGACCAGCACGATTACAACTCTAACTCTCGCAATAAAATCAGATATTAATATATCAAACTAATAATATCAAGTCGTCCACTCACCACAAGTGGGTCACTGACTCACTACCCAACTTGACACCAACACGCCTTGAGCACCAATATCACACCGATGTCACCAAAGCACTCCTCTCTACGTACACCACTGGACGTCTCACTAGACACACGCTATCCTCACTGACCGGGATCCACGACTTGAATGTCCGTCCTATACTGTCCTGAACATCTAGGATATCCCAGGCTTATCGGCACTGATAAGCCGGGTCAAAGGGCGCTCGCTAGCTTCCCCGCCGCCGCTTGCTTACCTCATCAATCGGTGCGCGGCCAAATAGCAAATATTTACCCCCCTAGGAAAAAGGCTCGTTACAAAATGAAAAAAAAAAACATACGAAAAAAACAAACGATACACTGTGTAGTGTGTGTTTAAGTGTGTACTCTATGTGAGTGAGTGTGACTGTTTGTTTTTAGGATTTAAATCTAATCTAATTAAATTTGTAATTTGTTTGTATCTTATTAACTATCTTAGCCCTAGTTAGTAGTACTGTCTTCCTTCAAGGTTTTTCTTTTGTCTAACCTGTCAAACTTAAATACATAATTTGAGTTCCAGTATATCGTGTACACCTACAGAATGGAAAGGTTAGTGTAAGGGAATGTTAACCTAAGTTACTTTATATGATATGTCTCCTGCTTGAATAAGTTTGAATAAGGCTCATAGCCTACATTTTAATGTTTTTGATGTGTAGTATTAAAGTATTTACATTGCTAGCCTAGGCTATTTGGCCTACTTCAATCTTCTCATAATTGTTGTCAGTATTGTTTCGAGATTTATCTCAATTAGCCTACCTAGGCCTACAGTACGGTAAGTTAAGGTCGTCAAACCTTTGAAACCTAGGTATTACAAAGGTAATTAGGGTATTCATTGATTTGACTACGGTTTGCTTTTTGTTATAATGTTTTGCATTTTCTTATGAATAGCCTACATATAATCCATTCTCTTAGAGGGTTTCAGTTGACATAGCCTAGGCCTGGCCTTAGTTAGGCAAGTTACACATGTTTAACTTTATGATAGGGGCCAAGGCCTAGCTAAATGTCTGATCCGATTAAGACTATTGTTACTGGATAATGTTTTGCCTTGTCTTAACATAAAATAACTTACCGACCGGTCATAAGACCCATTGTGGTCAAAATTCACTAAGGTACCCACACATCACCTTAAACTTAACTTACGGTGGTAATTAAGATAACTCAACCTCCAGACCTCACCCAAAATTAGCCTACATAAGCCTAAGTAAGGCTAAATATTTTTTTTTTAATCTCTAAAATTTTACGTTGATTCCAAAAATGATTTTTTTTTTTACGGAAAACGACATTGTGGATAATTTACTCAAATTATAACCGGTAACTTGGAGCAAGTTGAACAAGAATATGCAAGAGTTTTCAAAATTAATGGAAATTAACGAAGATAGGCCTACACCTGGAAAAGCGTTAGGTTAGGTTAAATTAGATTTCGTTGGGTTAGATTAAACTTAGGCCTACCTAGGTTGGGTTAGGTAATCAATAACCTGGGTATTGTTAGTAACCTAACCTAATCTAACCTAACCTATCCTAACCTAACCAAATCTAGGATAACCTAAACCTAACCTAGTTTTGGTCAATTTGGCGCTAACTAGATTTTCCGCCGCTTTTCCGGCTGTATCTCCTTTAATATCTATTTGATTTTGAATATTCTTGCATATTCTTGTTCAATTTTTTTTCACGTTAACTTAATTTAATACCCACACAAATGATTTACACAGATTTATTTTTTCGTTTTCCGAAGCTATTCCGGACGTACCAGTATCTCCTTTAATATCCGTCGGATCCTGAAAATTCTTGAATAGTAGGCCTATTCTTGTTCAGCTCGCTCTTCCAGTGCTCACTGCTTCTTCAAGCTTTTCCAAACTGGTTTCCACCCAAAAACCTTCAACTTTGTTAACAAATGAAAATCATTTGGTGCTAGGTCAGGGCTGTAGGTAGGCTGACTAAAGATTTCCCACATTAGACTTTTCTGAAACGTTCAATCTAATCATTATAGTTTTGAACTCATTTTGAATTATATTACGTACTTATTCTAAGTTGATTTTACTCTTTGTTATTATAATAAAATGATTAATTAATTTTACTATTAGCTAATTTTAGTTTCATTTAGATTCACTTCTTGCCGCATTCATGTTGAGACATGATGCAACTTTTTGCTTCAGATCACCCGTGACTTGTGATGGTCTCCCGCTCCCTTCTTCCCCGAGTTAGTTAAACCTTAGATCTTTCAGTTGTTTGTCGTGTGGTTGAAAACAATCAGCTGTAGGCTTTCTTCACTCACTGTCCATTCCACTCGTAAATGTAATCCATTCTACCTTGATTTTTCTAATGTTGTATATTTTACGGTGATAATATTCATCAACAGTGAAAAATATGTTATATTTGGATTCAGGAGGTCATCTTTTGGATATTTGGATTACGGTACTTCTTTTTTATTCAACTCTTGTTATGTTTTTATACATTTATTCTTGTTGATTATTGTTTTGCTTGTTATTATTATTGTTGGTTATGTATTCTCCTAGTTATTAAGCTTTGCTATGTTTGTTATATGTTATGCAATGAGATGAAATGGTGTTTACCGTTGATAAATAAATAAACTTCAGATAAATGTGTAAATATTCATTAACTGTCTAGAGCAGTGTTTCCCAACCTTATTCCGTTCAGGGCACACTAACTAGAACAACTTTGGAGTCACGGCACACTTGTCTATTATATTATAGTATTGACGAATTTTTGAATGATGGTAATTTTTTAAATTAGCAAATATTATGTTTCATAAAATAACCCAAATAATTATTTCTAAGAATCTTGGTTATTTTTTAGTATTTTAGGTACTTATTATGATATATGATTATATTGACAATGTCACCTGTTTTTGTAGCTTATGCTATGTAATCTGTAAAACGTTTATGTGACAATAAATATATATTTATTTATTTATTTGTCTACAAAATATCATTGGTTAAAATTACATTTAGTAAGTGCATAAAAAAATCTTTTTTTTTTCGATTACATCTTACTCTGTATAACCTATTTTTTACAAGTAAATATATATGTGTATATAATATAAAGGTGGGTTTACCAAGGTAAAAAATATAAAACTCACATTTGTTATCCAACATATGTACATTATTTAGTGTTTATTAAGTGGAAAGTTTTAAATAATGATAAAACATTGAGCTTGATTAAAATTGTATGAATTTACCAATAATGAGTGAGAAATATTAAATAAACCCAAATAGTGCCCTGGTGGCCAAATAGTTTCAGTTCTAGTGGGAAACTTGTGCTTGACGTATGTTTATTAAAAGTTTCTTTCTTGATCAAAAATTGTTTAACTACTTAAAATTTCGCGGCACACCTACAGAGGCCTACTGGCACACTGGTTGGGAAACACTGGTCTAGAGCCACTGGGTAAAGTATTGGGCATACACAATTAGCCACGACAAAACTAAAATTAAAGTATCACCTTTTTAACCATGTATTCATTAAATGTAATATTTTGAATGGAATTTCTTGTTTGAATACTCTTTATTTTTGGATTACAACAGATTTCTACCCAACCATACTTACAAAAACCAACCTCATTTTCTTTGTTTTCAGAAATATTTTAAGGTCGATTATCTTACTATCAGAAAAAGCTGCAAATATTGCTCGTACAATACGAAAAGAGGATCATCTACTCTCACTACTCACACGTGAGAAAAAGGATGATGAGAAAAATCAGCGGTTTTTTCAAGATTTTAAAACCCTTGCCGACGTTCTTGTGCAAGAAGTGGTAAAACATGAATTGGGGACTGAGGTAAGCAATTGACCCTTGTTTTGCCCTAAAAGTACTCTTATTGAATCACGCTATGATTTAACAAAGCTATATTTGATATTTACTTCAATGTAAGTAGACCTATATAAAATGCATTGTAATAATTCGGGACTGATATATCGGGTCTACTATCAATTTGGTTTTAAGAAATGTGGAATGACGAGTATTTAATTAAGTTGACTTAGGTTTATGTAGACTTTAAGATCTGAAACGCAAGAACTTGATTAAATCTTTGAACAAATTGTTAAATTGTTTCTCGGGGTCTGCAAGACTGGGTGGTTTCGGTTATCATGGTTGAGGTGATACCTACAATAGACTGGTGTATCGGGCTTCGACACAGCTTTCTTGGCTTGCAAGGACACTACCTCTGGTCAGCGCATGTACTGGTGATTGATTGGAACCTGGCCTGTGATTGTATCTCCACCAACATACTATAGGCTAACATGTCTTGTATGTTGGTGGATATATAGTCACAGGCTAGGTCACTTGCACCCTCAGAAGGAATGAATTGTACGATCGTCTGCCCTTCCTACAATGGATAGACAGACATCCATCGTATGAAGGGCAGATGATCGTACAATCTCGAATTCTCCTCACTCCTCTTCTCTATATATCCTGGACAGAACCCGTGGAGCCACCAAAGTAGACGAGGATTCGCCCAAAAAAGTCCATAAAAAATTAATAATTAATTTAACTTTTTGTAACCATGGTTAGGAGAAACTGATTCTTGTATTTTAACCATTACCATGCATTCCACTATTAAGTGAATTTTATTGTATTTATTTTGGTACCAGTTTTAGGCTTAGTTTTGTGATATGTATAAAATTACCATTTAAAGATTAGTTAATTTGATGTCACTTTATTAGTTGAATGCCTCCACATCTGCAATATATCCTTGAATATGAAATAATGAATTTATTCCTTCAAAACAAATAAATACAAAATAATACATTTACTTGGAACTACGTGCCACATTATCCAGTAATCGTGGCAAACGTAAAACAAAAAAATTAAACAATTATATTTACAACTTAATGAGTCCAGTATCTTAATTTGAAAAATACAAGTTGCCGCTCTCTTAAGTAAGGAATGTAAAACTAGAGCTTAAAAAAAAATTTAATCCTAAAGTTTACAGAAATACTGTTATAACTAAAAATTTATTGTTGATATATTGTTGGTTACCAGGGATTTTATGTTTAGCTTTAATTGTTTTATTAATTTGATAGTTTTATTAAAATATTTCTAACAAAATTGTAACTTCAATTGAGTGTTTGTTTTGGTATGAAATGTATGAATATGATTTGGTACTAAAACTAAGCAAACTTGTAGATCTTGGAAAGTAAGTCTGTCAAAGTTAAAATTTAGTGACTAGTTTAGCTTTAACATTTTATTTTATTTAATTCTTAAATCTCATTGGTTCTAGTCTGTGAAAGTTATATTCCTAGATTCCTATTATCTTTAATCTTAAAGAAACAACAAAACAACATTTTAAAATGTGATTGGTATTTTAAAATGTAAAATTTAGAGTGATTTTTAAGAGGACCAACAAAATGTAAGACAATGTATTGGAGTAGAACATCAAGTAGTTTAAAGATATTTTGAACACCCTAATACTACTTTTGAAACTAATGTTGATGTATTTGTAAATGCATAGTAGAATATTATAAAGTTAAAATAAGTTAGTATAGTTGTATACTGATGTTTACTAGTGTTACCAATGTAAAGTTTAAGCTTTGTTGGTACTACGGGTATTAAAAATTTAATTTAGCCGACGTTCTTGTGCAAGAAGTGGTAAAACATGATTTGGGGACTGAAGTAAGCAATTAATCCTTGTTTTGGGCTAAAAGTACTCTTATTGAATCACGCTATGATTTAACAAAGCTATATTTGATATTAACTTCAATGAAAGTAGACCTATATAAAATGCATTGTAATAATTCGGGACTGATATATCGGGTCTACAGTACCCTGGCAGCGGTTCCAAAACAGTTTTTTTGGTATTGCTGACAGATACTGCAAACCTATAATAAGTATGTAACCCAGATTGGTGTTTTCTTCTTAATCACTCAGTCATCATCAATTTCACTCTTCTGAATGAATATTAATTTATTTATTTATCACTTACAAACATTGATAGGCCCCTACACCAATAGGCCTACAAAATATTACAATAATCTGATGGCAGCAGAAAAAATATCCAATTTCATAGTGTAAATTGTCTTACAAATTAGCATTATATAGTAGCTATTTACACGAGTTGCGTACACTTCTTTACCTACGACAGGGTTTTAATTACTAGAAATCACTACTCGTAACTTCTAAGACAGGTTATGTTTTCGTTTACAACCTCTCATTGCCACTGACAGTGATGCAACAAAACATTATACCAAACACCAATTGCACCACTCTACAATTAAATTTTCCTAAACAGCTGATTAGTTGAATTTGGAATCGTTACAATTTTACTTCGGTCCGTTACTCGTGTTGTTATGAGTAAAACTATGAAAGTAAACAATGCTGTTATTGTTGAATTTCATATATTTATTGTTATTGTTAAAACTCATATATTTATTGTTATTGTTAAAACTCATATATTTATTGTTTGTCGTTCATTTATATTTTTACTTACTATTCTTGTTTGTTGTTCTTGTTCATAATTGGTTGTTATTTAAAGTTTTGCTTTTTGTACGTCTATTTTGATACTGCTCAAATTGTATTTACTTTACCGCATGTCATTTTCAAAAATTACTTTTGTATGTATATGTTTAAGTTAGATCAAGTCATCTTGTATACCATATTGTAAATTGGTTCTTGATCGTTGGAAGGTAAAAGAAAATAAAATAAAATGGTGCTATGTGAAACTTATTAATTCTAAGAACTGAATCGGCAACTTTAAAAAACGGTCGTAGGTAAATAACTTAACAACGATAAAATAACTATCTAACAAAACAATTGCAATCCTAATATCATTTTAAGTGACATGCAATCCAAGGAAAGGGCTACATCTCAAGTTTAACAACGTTTATAACAGATTAATAACAATAATATAGACTACCACAAAAGTAAACAACAATATAAACTTTAACAAACTAGATAGTAATATAAATTTCAACAAAATAATAACAATATGACAACAACAACAACCATAATAAATCAAATAATTTCATAACCGAATAACAATAACTATTCATGGCTATTTATGAAAATTTACATCCTTAATGTTGTAAGCATATCTAGCTAAATATCCATACAAAATAAGGACCCATAAAGCAAAATGATTTGGTACTCCGTAAACTCTCACTTTATAGTTGAAGCTTTGCTAACTGAGTCATCAGCCGATGTTTATACACTGTGAGTCTCTACACAAGACTCTCCAAAGTTCAACTCCGCTGTTGTGTCTGTGTGGTAGATGGAATAAGTACATTATAGTCCTTCGCTGAATTAATTATTTTGTAGTTGATCATAAGTAGTTAAAATGTGTACCTCTTAAGTTAACTTTATTCATTTTCCAACTTTTTTGGTAAATTTATTAATATTGGAATGTACCTTACATTATTATGGCCTACATCATTCAGGTGTACGTGAGAGTTTAGTTAATTATATTGGGTCTAATATTCAACAAACATTGCTTTTCTTTTAAAATAATGCCTAAGCTAACAAAGTTGAAATCACAGAGATTGAAAGGCACATGGTAAGAATTTTAATTTTATTTATTTTTCCAGTAACAGCAACTAAAAAATTGAATTAGGTATTTAAGTTATCTTGATTAGTTTTGCAAGAACAAAGGCTACTTAACAAGGTAACCTAAATAATTGACAATCATTAGGCATTTCAAGTTTGCTTATCTTAGCTTATTTATCAAGGAACAATATGGATTTAGACAGTTTTAGCCATAGCAGATTTAATCAGGTGTGTATTGGAGGGCTTGGATGGATCGCAGACCTCAGCTGGTGTGTTCTGTGATCTATCCAAGGCTTTTGACTGTATAGTACATGATATTCTTCTTGATAAGTTAAAAGTTTACAACTCCGCTTCTTCCGTATTTTCTTGGGTTAAGTGTTACCTATCTGGTAGACACCACAGAACTGTTATTAAAAAAAATGGTATGGTTTTTAAATCTGAATGGAGGAAAGGAACGTGGGGCGTGCCCCAGGTTTCAATTCTTGGTCCTATTATGTTTTTAATCTATATAAACGATTTAGCAAAAAATTTTGATTTCAAAATTGTTCTGTATGCAGATGATGCTATTCTTAAATCAAACAACATTTTAGATTTACAGCAAGTTATTCAGAATTCCCTCACAGATATGCAAGAGTGGTTCAAGGCCAATGGTCTTAAATTAAATAGTAGCAAAACTAATGTAATCAATTTTAGCACTACGCGAAAACAGGAAAAAAATCTTAATCAAATAATATTAAATGATGATCATCTTCCTATTGTAAAGTCAACAAAGTTCTTGAGTCTCGAGGTTGATGAAAAACTAAACTGGAAAACATATATTGATAAATTACTGACTTACAGACGAGATTGATTGTATATCATGCATTGTTCGCTTCTTCAATGCAGTATGGTGTTGAACTTTGGGGAGGTAGTTCAGGTATGGAGTCTGTTTTTAAATTACAAAAAAAGTATCTTAAAATCATGACAAATTCTAAACCTAAAACATCCTGTAAAAAGATTTTGGAAGTCCTATTGATAATGATCATAAGTTTAAGAAAGAAGTTCAGTCCCTGCTGCTAAACAAAGTGTATTATGGTATAAATGATTTCTTATGTGACACTTTGTAATATGATGTAAATAAACTAAAATATGTAGATTAAATATGTATATAAAATTAAGGCATTTGTTTAAGTTTTTGCCAACAAAAAAAATGTTATCATTAGTCCAGTCAAGGAATGAGGTGTAGAGTGCGTGAGCAGGTAACTAAGCGATTCCTTCAGAAACTTGTTCAGGGGGCTTAGGGTGTTAACATACCAAAAGTCCTGACTCCTAGGTGGTGAGCCAGGGGGTGGAGGGGGGAAAAAGGGGGGGGAAAAGGTACGCATTTTGGGTTTTTTGATTATATCTCGAAAACTATCAACTTTTTGTATACTATAGTAAATTATAAAATTGAAGAAGATTAAATCTTCTACAAGAAAAGTATATAATGTGTTTATTTTGGTTCAACAGATTACGAGTTATAACTTATTTAATTGATATCTTATTAAAATACTCCTTCCATAAGAAATGCATGTAAATTAGTATGCGAAATGGGGCGAATCCTATCTGCCCAAAGGAAATATAAATGATATTCTGGAAATCTTGACAAAATTTCCAGTAATTTGACACTTTAATCATTAAAATTGATCCAAAATTAAGGCGAGGGCAAGGTAACAAAATGTCAAGTTTTGGTGTTTTTTTATTGGAAATATAAAAAAAAACCTTAAATCATCCCATTTTTAAACGCTCACCCTCGCTTTAATTTTTGACAAAATTTCATTATTAAAGTGTCAAATTACTGGAAATTTTGTCAAGATTTCCAGAATATCAATTATATTTCCTTTGGGCGGATAGGATTCGCCCCATTTCGCATACTAATTTACATGCATTTCTTATGGAAGGAGTATTTTAATAAGATATCAATTAAATAAGTTATAACTCGTAATCTGTTGAACCAAAATAAACACATTATATATTTTTCTTGTAGAAAATTTAATCTTCTTCAATTTTATAATTTACTATAGTATACAAAAAGTTGATAGTTTTCGAGATATAATAAAAAAACCCAAAATGCGTACCTTTTCCCCCCCCTTTTTCCCCCCTCCACCCCCTGGCTCACCACCTAGGAGTCAGGACTTTTGGTATGTTAACACCCTAAGCCCCCTGAACAAGTTTCTGAAGGAATCGCTTAGTTACCTGCTCATGCACTCTACACCTACTTTTGGATCATTCATTGACTGGACTACATGTATATTTTGCTTTTAGTTTTTAAGATGTTGACATGTCACTTGTTTTACCAGCTGTGCTGGGGGAGGAAAATGTATTGTGACAAATAAAGAATCTGAATCTTAAGCTTACAGCTTACTTTTAGTACTATGTTCAATAGTCTGATGTTTTGTTTATATACACCCTTACATCCCCGTAAGTATCAGGCTATTTAGAGTCAACTTCATTTGCTTCTGCAGTTTGATCAGTTAGGGCCTTTGCACACTAGGCTACCACGAAGTCATTGAGTTACATGTACAACAGCACACTGGGCCACTGGGTTAGCGCAACTCTATGGCGACACCAGGAGTTTTGTTTATCTCCAGTGTAACTTTTTGATCATGGCGAGGCTTGACGTAGAATGTTTTGGAAGATTATTGGTGAAGTGTAATCAGAAAGAGGTATGAAAGCGTACTCAAACTCGGATAGAGATATCAATTATTAAGAGAAGGTACAAACAGCCATTCTTGGATATATGTTAAACTTGTCTGGATTGTTTCTGAGGATGACATATTTGAGTAAAAAACAACCCTTGATCTTTGATCGGGTAAAAAATACAGTTTTTTTGCTCTTATTCCGCAAATAAAGAAAGGTAAAAGCGAACCCACAAGCTTCTTACATATCGATTACGATCAATAGAAAACAACTAACTGAGCAAGTGTGGTGGCTGGTAAGGTAGCTCACCACTCAAGGTTACTCGCCACCAAACACGCTTCCAAAGTGGCGCCTCCATGGTGGCCTAGTGTGCAAAGGCCCTTGAAGCCTTTCTGTCTTAACAAGGTCTTATAACGGAATTCATTTTAAGAGATTGTCACATTATCTATGTAAAATATATTTTTTTAGTTTCCTGAACTGGTGGGACATATCTATGGCGAAGAAAGCAATGAGTTTTCATGTTTGGATGGAGAAACTATAGAACTAAAAGTTTGCATCAGTGAAGAAAAAACTGCCCAACAGTTGCTAAGGATTGTTGGAGATGAAAAAGTAGCCAATTTACTCGCATGTCTAGTCCATTCCAAACCTGAGTTCCCAGATGACTTAGAAATCCCAACCGATGTCACTTGTCTTCCCTTGGAAGAAATAGGGATTTGGATTGATCCCATTGGTAATTTCATCACTTTTTACTCTTTTTTAGTTGTATTTCTTAAGCTACTTAAGTAAGGAACGTTGGGTTAAAAATAAAATGCTTCTAATCTTAAATACCCCTAACTCCACGCTAAATCTAAAAAAATGTGGCAAACTATAAATTATGTTAGAAAAATTTATAGTTTTGATGTACCTATTCATTTATTGGAAAACTTTTTCAAGTAAATAAACAAGCATGAACAATGCAAAAGTAAATTATACTCATGCCTAGTAGGCTATAAGAAGTAAATACTGACTACTTTTTACAGAGTGTGGCATAATGGATTAAGCAGTTTCATTCACATAGTACTCCGGCTATGTTGGTAGTAGGCAGATACTTCCGTTCTTTCATCGGTTACTTATACCATTTCAGTAGCCAAAATGGCATAGACCAGACAACTTTGAGACTGTTTGTGTATTTCCAAACAACAAGTCATTGGTTGCGATATGAGAAAGTTTTTGCTGGCTGCTTTTTATTCTGCACAATGACCAGTCCTAAACAATGAGGGCTAATTAAATGGTATGAGGGACTGATGACAACACAACAAAATGTATCAGCCTACCACCTACATAGTACTAGCAGGCATACTACATAAGAAACTGCTTAATCCGTTTTGCCCTGCTCTTACTGCTTTGAAATCTGTAACTACTACTTTTAAAAATTGACGTTTTTGCTGTTGATTAAAATTAATTAGTTAAGATGATTTCTGATCTACCATCGTTATTTTCCAGACTCCACGGCAGAGTACATTAATGCGAATGAAGAAATCAGCTCAGTGAATGGAATTTGTTTGTCTGGACTACCTTGCGTCACAGTGTTAATTGGAGCGTTCCTCCGCGGAAAATCCTCTGGAAACCCTGTGCTAGGCGTTCTTAATCAACCGTTCCACAAATATGCTGATGGAAGGTAGGTACATCTCAAATGTCGCGTCGCTGATAGCTTGGAACCTTTTTAACTGTATATAATTTCTGTAACAATACACAAATGAAGTTTTATTTTTTGGGTCAGTTCTAACCTAAACCAAGTCAAGTCAAAATATACTTTATTCATTATATGCACATGAAACCTACATTACTCTGAACAAAGTCAATTATTTCTTAAATAAATACAATAATAAATCAAATAATAAACTATGATATTAATAAACAACAACAGTAAAACTATGTAATGAAGTGCAATAATATAAATTCTTTAAAAGAGTAAAGAGCTTTTCCAATTATATAGTTTTTTTAGTTTTCTTTTAAATCTTTCTCTATTTACCTCTTTCTTTATTTTTTAGGAAGTTTCCTAAATGTTTGTGTTACAAGACAATAATGGATTTTTTAAATTCTAATTTTGGCTGTTGTATATTTAAATTTCTATTTCTTGTTGGGTATCAGTGTCCTGAGCTGTTTTTCGGTCTTGTTTTCCTTGACGGTCATAATGGTATCAAAAATGTATGTCCAAAAACTTTTAAAATTCCCAGCTCTATAAAAGCTTGTTTGTAGGGTAAAATTAGGTATGTAGTATGTAGTAAAATTGTAGAGTATGTAGGGCTAAAAATAAATGATGCAAAAACCAAATTCATGATAGTAACAAGAGGAGAAGCTGGAAATAATGAAGAGTTTTTTTCAAGTCAACAACCATGAATTCCAAAGAGTAAATAATTTCACCTATCTAGGCGTTCTACTATCTGACAAAAATACGGAAGACATGGAAATTCAGAATAGGATAAATTTAGCAAATAAGAGTTGGTACGCATGCAGTAAACTAATGAAATCAAAACTTTTAACGAGAAAGACAAAAATTAGAATCTACAAAACTATAGTAAAACCCGTACTTTTATATGGAGGGGAAAATTGGATCCTGAGCAAGAACTCAGAAAAGAAAATAATAACTTTTGAGAACAAAGTTTTGAGAACTATATATGGGCCAGTATGTGAAGATGGAGTATGGAGAATCCGCCACAACCGGGAGCTAAGAGAATTATTTCAAGACCCTGATATCATTGGAGAAAGTAGAAGATTAAGGTGGGTTGGCCATATCCTAAGGAGAAAGGAGGAGAGTCTACTGAAGATAGCACTCAGAGGAAATCCGAGGGGAAGAAGACCAATAGGTAGACCGAAAGCCAGGTGGTGGGGTCAAGTACGAAAAGATTTGGAAAGGATGAGGCTTGTAGAGGAAGATGCATGGGACCGAGACTATTGGCGACAGCGTGTTGGCGAGGCCAAGTACCAGCTAGGGTACAGGTGGCCATGGCAGTAAGCAGTAAGTATAAAAGCTTGTTTGGCTGAAACTCTTCTCTCAATTCCTAACATTATTCTAATACATTTTTTCTGTAATTTAAAAATCTTTTTTAAGTTTTCGTTTTGGTTGACGTATTGTAATGTTACCTATCCCTAAGCAGAAACTATTGTAGATGAAGATAACATTGCAACCTGAAAAACGTGGTAGATAATTAACGGAAAAGGTCTAATACTATTAATTTAATGTTTAGTAATACGTCATGATTAACTGATATGAGTTACAATTAGGAAAGTTGTGCAAAATAACTGACTTTAGTTTAACAGCTCACATGTATATTTCCACATACCTTAAACTATTCTCTACAAATATTGTCAACACTTTCAGTTGTGATTTTTAATACAGTCGTAAACTGTACATTTCAACTTGATATCATGTTTTTTACTTAGCTGATGTTCATTGTACTCAACAAAAAACTTGTAATTAAGTTTCATTAGATCGTAATAAGATTTGACTTTGCTTTCAGATGGAAGGGCAGGGTGATGTGGGGTATTGCTTATAGAGAAACAATTCTATCTTCTGTTACACCTCTATCAGGCGGAGAAAAGGTAACACACTCAATGAAGTACATCACAATATACAGTAGAACTAGGACCAGACCCCATCCGGATTATCAAAATAACAATAAAAATGGCCCTAATGCGCACTATTTGATTAAACAACTTTTTGAATTGTATATTTTCTAGTGTACAATAAAGCGTCTAAAAAGGAGATGAATTGAAACATTTTTTATGTTCAAGCACTGTATCGTACTTGTAGCAACGGTCATGTGTTTAGTGTATAGTAACACCACTCTACATATTTGAGCTAAAAAAAAATTGTAAGTTTTTGAGGTTTTTTAACTGCGGTATTGGTTTTGTTTTGCAGCTAATTCCTTGATTAATTTTAAAAGACTGCACAAAACGTTTCTTGCTAGAGAGAAATCCAAATTATTGACGGTCGAATTATCGATGTTCTACTGTACCTTGAATTGAAAGTTTAAGGTTTTTATCAAACTCATACACAACGTATTAAATGAGTAAATAATGTTTTGTGATTGCAAACACTGTTCTCACATGTAAGTTGTTTTTATAAGCTAATAAAATTTACTGTATGTTAATTTTAAAATGGGAAGAATCTACAGTGAAAATAGTGAAATAGGAATTTATTTTATTCTAAGCTATCAACACTAACACTTTACTACAAAACACACTTTATTACCTTCTCTGTAGCAGCAAACCTAGGTAATTATTAAGTCTAATGTTATCCAAACAGGGAATAAATCTGTCAAGCTTAAGAAAATATTTTTGTCAAAAATCAATCAGACAGATGAAAATTCTCTTAGTATTCAGGTTTGCTGCAGCTGGGGTTTTTGGTTGTAGTCTCTGGATTATGTTGGATAACAAAATTGGTTTTATTACCCAATTCTGCGTAATCCAATTGCTGCTTATTACCACAACTAGTTTTAAGTTTTGACTTGTTATGAAGTGTCCTCAGGAGTTGACGGACATAAAAATCACTTCATCAGAAGGTCGTTGGTTAACATAAACAAACAAAGACAAACATTAATCCAGCTTGATTGGATCTTGAATCTACATCCATCTGTTGATGTCACATCGTTCTCCGTATCGTTGTTACTGTCCTTCAATCATTTCGTCCTATAATGTTCGTCTGTGTATGTTCTGTATGTAAATCAACCAACGCCTGATGATTTTTTTCTCGAGTGTTGGTTGTTCATGGGTGTTATCTTTTACAGTTGGTGGTCCTCAGCAGATTTGAGAAGGAAGAGGTCAAGTCTCGTCTGAAGAAGGCTGGTTACACTCTGTTGGAGGCTGCTGGAGCAGGATACAAGTTGATGTTAGTTGCAACAGGCGCAGTGTGTGCCTATGTGCTCAGCAAACCCTGCACGTTCTACTGGGACACGTGTAGCGTAGACACTATTCTGCGTGCTCACACAGGAGGTTTGGTCAACTACCATCTGGCCGTCACGGAGAAGAAAATCTGTCCGTTGTTGTACTGTGAAGGGGTCGGAGTGGACCAGTGTGCCAACAAAGGGGGGTTTATTGCGTACAACAATTCAGATGTCTTGCACGACATCATCGGGGTGCTTGCAGACTAGTGCTGCTGCCGAGACAATTTTGAACAGTTATAGTAACTTCAGTTTGAGTTACATCGCCCCAGGGACGTAACTATAGCTTTTTTCCAGTAAGTAGACTGATTTTTTAGTTTCACTCGAGTCTTTTTGTTTTAGTATTTTGTAAAATGTTGTGATACGTTATGACAATGAAAAGTTACTGTTTTGTTACGGTTATTCTCAGCTTAAATACAGTAAAACCTCACAAACTCAACAATTAGTGGACCCAGAGGTTGTCGAGTTATTCAGAATATTGAAATATTTAATGGGTTAATTAGTCAATACATAACAGACTAATATCTACATATAGGCCTACATTTATTACTCAAGAGTATTTTTAAATTGAGTAAACAATCTTTAAAGATATTTGTAATATTCAGCAATTAGAACTAAATGTTCTGAAAAAATTGCTTGAAAATCTAACACAATAGTAAAGCATTTAGACTTGCACTCTGTCAAATGTTGACTTTCGAGTTAGTGAGGTTTACTGTATAGGCTAGTTTATCTTTTTAAATAATAATACATTATTAAGTGGAGGATATATGCTTTTCAGTACTATACGTTTAGTGTTTTAGTACATTATCCCACCGTGATTCTTTATTTGTTGAACTATTTATTGGGGTATAAATATATCAGGATGGCATTTAAACATGTTTTCAAACTAAGGAACACTTTGTCCCTTGAACAATGGTTTTAAGACATGTCGAATGATAAGTATTAAATTAAGTTGACTTAGGTTTATGTAGATTTTAAGACCTGAAACGCAAGAACGTAATTTCATCTTTGAACAAATTGTTAAATTGTTTCTCGAGGTCTGCAAGACTGTGTGGTTTCGGTTATCATGGTTGAGGTGATTCCTACAATAGACTGGTGTATTGGGCTTCGGTACAGCTTCTTTGGCATGCTTGAGTATTTCAAAGGACACAACCTCTGGTTAGCGCATGTACTGGTGATTCATTGGTACCTGGTCTGTGACTATATATCCACCAACATACAAGACATGTTAGCCATCACCAGCACCTCCGTGGAGCCATCATTTGGCCTTCGCAAAGTGCTCCAAGATTGTGAACGAGCTGTACACAATCTTGGAGCACTTTTCGGTGGCCAACTGTTGGCTCCACGGAGGTGCTGGTGATGGCTAACATGTCTTGTATGTTGGTGGATATATAGTCACAGGCCAGGTACCAATGAATCACCAGTACATGCGCTAACCAGAAGTTGTGTCCTTTGAATTACTCAAGCATGCCAAGGAAGCTGTGCCGAAGCCTGATACACCAGTCAATCAGTTGGCTCCACGGAGGTGCTGGTGATGGCTAACATGTCTTGTATGTTGGTGGATATATAGTCACAGGCCAGGTACCAATGAATCACCAGTACATGCGCTAACCAGAAGTTGTGTCCTTTGAATTACTCAAGCATGCCAAGGAAGCTGTGCCGAAGCCTGATACACCAGTCAATCAGTTGGCCATCACAAAGTGTCACCTTGTGATGGCCAACTGTTGGCTCCACGGAGGTGCTGGTGATGGCTAACATGTCTTTTATGTTGGTGGAGATGTAATCACAGGCCAGATCACTTGCACCCTCAGCAGGTATGGTGGTCTATCCATCGCAGGAAGGGCAGACGATCGTACAATCTCAAAATTTCTCCTCACTCCTCTTCTCTATGTATCCTTGACAGAACCCGTGGAGCCACCAAAGTAGATGTGGGTTCTCCCAAAAAATCCATAAAAAATAATAATTAATTTAACTTTTACAACCATGGTTAGGAGAAACTGTTTCTTGTATTTTAACCATTACCATGCATTCCACTACTAAGGGACTTTGATTGTATTTATTTTGGTACCAGTTTTAGGCTTAGTTTTGTGATATGTGTATAGTATTACCATTCAAAGAGTACAGTTAATTTGATGTCACTTTATTAGTTGAATGCCTCCACATCTGCAATATATCCTTGAATATTGTTTGTTACCAGGGATTTTATGTTTTAGCTTTAATAGTTTTACTAATTTGATACTTTTATTTATATTTCTAGCGAAATTGTAACTTCAATTGAGTGTTTGTTTTGGTATGAAATGTATGAATATATGATTTGGTACTAAAACTAAGCGAACTTGTAAATCTTGGAAAGTAAGATCTGTCTAAATTAAAATTTAGTGACTAGGTTAGCTTTGAAATTGTATTTCATGTTTATTTCTTCAATCTCATTGGTTCTAGTCTGTGAAAGTTATATTCCTAGATTCTTATTATCTTTAAACTTAATGAAACCACAGAACAACTTTTTAAAATGTGATTTGTATCTTAAAATGTAAAATTTTGAGTGATTTTAAGAGGACCAACAAAATGTAAGACAAAGTATTGGAGTAGGACATCAAGAATACTACTTTTGAAACTAATGTTGATGTATTTGTAAATGCGTAGTAGAATATTATATCCTTAAAATAAGTTAATTGAATTGTATGTATACTGATGTTTACTAGTGTTACCACAGTAAAGTTTAAGCTATGTTGGTACTGCAGGTATTAAAAGTTTAATTTAATCGTTGATTGGTTTTTATTACTTTCCATTTACTAGTTTATATTTTTTTACTTTACCAGTCCTCCAATTTTGATGGGCCTTAATAATGATAATGTAAAAACATACATCAATGCTTGATTTTGCTATGTATAACTTCAGCATTGTATGTATGTACTGACAAAAAGTACCTACGTAAAAATACCGATAACATTTTATTTGACTTTTTTCCATCCATTAATGTACAATTCTTGGTTCTCCTGATTGGCCTGATTTTGCTGCATTATTTGTTGGAATTTAGGCCTTCAAGTTTTGCCTATAAACACCAAGACATGTGTTTTATACCATGAAATCAAGGGATAAGTATTAGAAAAGGCCTTATATGAACAAAGTGTGCATGGAGCGTATTGAATATATACACAGTACAGAAATTAGATGTACACAGAAACCAATTATTTTTTAATTTGATTTTCATAATCTTAGTCCAATGTAATATATTTTTATTGTAAAATGAAATACAATCATTTGATAATGTACATTTACAGAAAGTACTACAGTATAAGTAAGTGCTTATAGTAACACTTTCACCTTGCACGTTTAATAACAATCAAAATCAGACTACTTATCATATTTTTATTTACTTTCCGTAAATAACAAATACAATGCTGATCAAGAAGTTATAATATACATTTGACAATGTATAACTTTTAAATTATGAGGTACAAGCTGCTGGGGAGAGGACACAAAAGAGAATCATGCTGTTCTATCTGTTGTATGAAATAGTTACACATCTACTACTCATTTTAGACACAAATTTTAATTTGACCACTTATTGTAATAAATTTATTCTTCAATTCCAGAAAATTTTTTTGCGCAAATAATTTATTTCCACTCATGTAATTAAGATGTATGTTAAAACTATTTTTTTTCTTTTTCAAACAAATAATTTGTGATTCTACAAAATCGTGACGTTTTGCTGCCTCGCCCTGTGCATGTAATAACAGTTTAAATTATATATTAACAACACAAACTACAGTATACAGTGGATTGGGAGTTTAACTTTAATATCATCTAGCGGTGATTAGACGAACTGTTGAGAACGAAGATGTAAAGTCAAAGTCAAAGTACAAAGCCAGATTAACAAATATTTTGCATTGGCCTAGTCTTAACTAATAAAATTACATTTATTATGATATTTATTAAGCACCATATACAAATTGTTTGGTTGTGACACACAACCCCTTGCGATGTTTAATAAAGACTCCCAACAAATTCCTGGGCGCTGTAGCAGACCTTATTTATCAACATGGACTTAACACATTTGCTGAATTTTCCGATGTCCTGTTCAGCTTTCAAAGGGAGAGGGAGGTAATTCAAAAGTTTTCTGCATGAAGTGGAAGTTTTTCTGAAAGAAAGTGATTGAGTGACGCGGTACTATGAAAGATTGAAATTCTTGCTGAGAGGATAGCTATGGATACTTGGCGAGCTATATGATAATTGTTTTTTCTTAATAAATGATAATGTTTCTAAAATGTAAATGGAAGGGAAAGTTAGAACTTTATGTGATCTGAAGACTTGCAGGATTGGCGACGGTGAAGGGGCCAGTTCGGAGAGCCTTTATTTGAAGCTTGAAAATGAACTGAGTCCTTTGGCTTTCACACCCCCAGACAGGTACCCTCATATGTCAGATAAGGATAAACATGTCCATATAGTAGGATGTCAAGAGAACCCCAGACGAAACAGTATATTTAAGAGTGCGGAGTATGAAAATCCCTACAGATGTGTTGTTTGAAACGTGATCGATATGCTTGTGAAATTCGAGGTTCTCGTCAAGAATTAAACCAAGGAACTTTACATCTGGGGAGGGGCAAATAGTGGTATCATCAAGAAGAACCTGTGTATGTCAGTGCAGTACCCACTGCACTGACATACAATGCAATGCTGAGAAATGCTAAATTGATGGAGTGTGGTTTTGTTGGAATTCAAGATTAATTGATTATCATCACACTACTGAAGCAGAGGCTGTTGGATTCAAGAAATAAGGTCTGTTCTAAAGGCCTGCATACTGGGATTTGAAATGGCGTTGAAAGTGTCGGCTAACAGGCGTGGGTTTGCTAGAAGCTGGATGGAACATCATTTATGAGGATGAGGAAGAGAATCGGACCCAAAACGGAATGTAACTGCTATTTGGCCGAAAAATATACATCTCAACATAAAAAAAAGTATATTTAAGTGGATAACAACCTCTACAAAGATAAGATTGTGTTTTCCTTCGGGAATACTTTTTGATGGCATATAAGATAACTCAGGCTGTTTAAAAAAATACATCAATAATATTCACCATAATTTATATTTATAATTATAATTATATTTATAATTTATTCATAATTTGTATTTAGCCTACGCACAGGCTTCCAGCCCATGTAGGCTTATTTCCTAAATTACTTTTTTTAACATAGCTTTCTCTGAAACCTTCCGTCCTTTGTTATTATTATTATTATTAAGTTTACATGTATTTTTATAATTATTTATTTTATCCATGCAATAGCAAGTAAGGTGTCTGTTTCACTGGAATTTTATGTTTATATTTTATTCTGTTGAATATTTTTGGAAATAAAGTATATTTTGATTTTGATTTTTGATTTGATAAACTTCAATTTACAACAGGAGTTTACATGGTAGTTACATTGAAAGTCGATCCAGTACAGGATTATAAATAATAAAATCTTTTTCTTTTGTGTAACCTTAAAATCTTAGTACCGGTACCTTGTTAAAGTTTGCAAATTATCACTAAGAAGTGGTCATAAAACAGTGATGTTAATGCATGACCCATTTTTTATAGAGGTAATTGATTATAGAAATTGATTTAACCACTGGAGTCAAATATACTATTTCTACCATGATATGTTATATTTCTTTTACTAAACTGTTAAGTTGTTTAAGATAAATTTTCATTTATGCTATGATAACTTGTATAATTTTACACCAAAATTACTTCTAAACAGCTACATTGTGCTCAATTCACACAACAAGAAAAATCATTACCTAACTTGCATTTCGAGAAAGCCCGGGAAAAAATTTATACAAAAGTCAATAACTGAATAACTCCCAACAATATAACTAACAATAAAATAACTCGCATCAATAACCATAACTCAATAAGTCGTGATACAACGTGAAATAGTGCAGCTACATGGTAATTGAACCAAGCTAGCTTTTTTAGTAAACTAGAATTGAAGAAGAAGAATGTACATTCCTCCTACCAGTCCAGTCAGTCACATTTTCTAACCTCAAAAATTATTTGTTATTATTTCATTTGTTTGTTTGTATCAAATCTCACTGATGGGACTTCGACTTGGGTTGGGACTTGAAGAACACGCAAACGTCGCAAACGCAAACTCAGATGCATGGTGTAATATGTAATCGAAAGATTTAATAGTTAACATTTAATAGTTTTACTCATTGAACCTTTGATTAATCGATTAATCCTAGACACATCACGTAGCATTGACATACAAGTGAGTAAAGTAGTTGTAGAACAAAACAATATTTTATTTAATGTCCCATTAATTTAGGTTATATCATGGTTAGAGGTTAGACCATGCCGACAAATAATGTGTAACATGAATAATGGTATATAGCCTAAGGTAAATAGGAATTCTTAACTGGGCTACGCTAAGGGTACAGTTTCTTAACTGGGCTATGCTAATATCGATTAAACTATGATTCGATTAGTACACCTTCATGCGATTTTTTCACAATCAGCAAGTTTGGTTGGTTAGGTAAGGTTATGATAGTTTAATTTTATAATAGATATATTTAAAAATATCGATTATTAATCAATATTTTCAATTCGATAATTTCAATCGATATTAACATAGCCCAGTTAAGAAACTGTAGGTACCCATTGAAACTATCAAATTAAAAATACTGGATAATAATCAATATTTTAAAATCTGCCTATTATAAAATTATACTATCATAACCTAACCTAACCAACCAGACTTGCTGATGGTGAAAAAATTTCATGAAGGTTTACTAATTGAATCGATAGGCCTAGTTTCAATCGATATTAGCATAGCCCAGTTAAGAAACTGTACCCCTACACGAATATTGATTGAAACTATTGAATTGAAAATATTGATTAATAATCAATATTTTTAAATATATCTATTATAAAATAAAACTATGAAACATTTTAATAAAACCGAAAGATTATGTGTGTTCTAACACCTTTCTATTAAGCAGACTCCATGTCTAACATGTGGATCGAGTAAGATAGCTCAACTCATGTCAATAGGTGGAAATGCTTTCTTAACTATCTTTCATTGGGTTAATTACTCGAGCCTCATCTTAATTTAGCTACAATGGGCATAAGTGATATTACCTTGAAGAGTGAGGCTAGTCTTTTATCACGCTTAAATATTATTATCTGCTCAAGTAAGGAACAGCTGCAACAAATGTAAGGATTCTTAGTAGAAACATAAAGTTCTTTAAAGTGTTTTACCTTATCTAAATGCACCATTATTGCTGTAACAATACCTCACTATCACAAATATGTTAAGTTTATCTGCATCCTAAAAGAGTAACACACTGTATTAAAAACTCGAGACATATAACTTCCACATCTTATTCTTGTTGTGTAAAAACATCATACTGAAACTTATGATCTGTTTTTAAATGATTTGAAAGTTTGTTACATGGCTAACAACTACAGGCTTGTGAAAAACATTCAGTATTTACACACTGTAGGCTATATTCTTGATTTTGTATGATCTGTGTACCATAAGTTTCCATACTGTCCCGTGGCTAGGTTACTATGCATATACCTTATTATTAATTTAAATATCTAGCTAATACACATTACAGCCTACCCCAACTTTCAAAAACTTAAATTTATAACATTGTTCCATTTTTTTAATTTCATATTTTTTATCTGATAGGAAATGGAAGTAACATCTCCTACAGAGTCTTCTGGGCCATTCTTGCAGTCCGATGACAAGAAGCCCGAAGTTGTACAGATGAAAAAA